TCTTATCAAATATCATACACGCTATACAAATTATGCTATTATCGATGGTGCGACGTGGTGTACATATGAGTGTCGTGTTATTTATTCTCATACAATTTTAATGCTGAGCACATCCAAAGTGCATGCGTCGCAGCAGTGGCACTGGCCGCAGCTTATCGAAAGTAAAAAAAAATCAACTTAATCAACTATTGATCTGGTGCAAATATAGTAGGTGATTATGTTTACAACTTAAAATCGAATACGAAGCATTTACACAATTTGTTTACAACACTTTCAATTTCAACACACACGTCCACATCAAAATAACAAAACAAAAAACCGAAACATTATAATAGATAAAGAGGCTTACGTACGCAAGCTGACTTTTCCGCATGGAACCGAAATTTTGGGAATAAACTGAAATTATGGTCTATGTATGGTTGCAGTGACTTAAATTACCATGAAAACTTGTGAATATTATTTTCTTATCAGCGTTCAAATCGAAAGAATATCATTTTAAGGCATTTTTCTCATAAGTGCCTCTTCAGAGTCCAAATTTTACACCGATCAATCAATGGCGTTGAAAATGTGACCAGATCTATTCCTCGTAGTGCCCAATCATCCCGTGAAGTCAGATTTTGAATTTCATGTCTGAGCACGAAATCATCGTGTCACCAAAATGGTTGAAAAATGATCAAAAAATGTATGTATGTGGGACTGTGGGTACTCCATTCGGACAAAAAAAAATTACACCGGTCAACAGATATTGCTCAAAAACTAATCAGCACGTCTCCTAGTGGTCCCAAATCATCCTGAAAAGTCAGAATTTGAATTGAGTTTTTGGAAGAAGATTTATCGAGTTAACAAATTTTGGCAACACGCCACAGGACACAGGACACATCACACACAGCGACGCACAATAATACCCCAAAATCATCTCCAATCGTGTTTTCTACATTAAATATACATAGATAACATATTTTGGGGTGACTTTAATTTTTTGATCTAATACAATACCTTTCCTACACTAGGTGTGCGGAAAAGTAAAATATAGATAACGTTCAGCCGTCAAGTGACCACACAAATAATCTTGCCAGCTTGCCAATATTGAATTTCGTTTTGGTGTAAAAATAAAGATAACATGTGTGGCGGCGGCCGACTAACATGCAAATACGTAATGTTGATTTGGTATGCGTGTTTCGTTTGGTTTCCAAATATGTCTTGTATTTTTCGTGAAAATTCTACTTTTATCTCGAATTTGAATCGCCAATCAAGAATGCGCCTTTTTATCGCATGAATTTGTTTTCAATTGCATTCATTGTTATCTGTTTTCGTTTTTCGAGGCGTGCTTTGCTGTGTATATGTTTATAATCTATTTTTAATACCTGGATGACATTTTTTTTGCATTTGTGATTATATTCACACAGAATCGGGTTTTTTCGTTATGCGTTTTTGCGATGAGAAAATGACAGTATTTTCTGTTTTTTTTTTCTGAAGAAATGACGTGATGTGATATAAAATACCACTTAATGCGCAAACATAACTAATTGATTTTGGATTTCAATGAGTGTATATGCTCAGGCCGCGGCCGACACCATGCACGCATATTGTTATTAAAATAATTTTATCTTCTTTTATTCTGTGAAATTGTCACATTATTTTGCACCGCAAAAAAACGTGGAAAAATTTTAATTTCCAAAGTGTATACATTTTGTCAAATGAGATATGATTTCAACATTTGATAAATGTTGATACAGAAACACATTTCGTGACGAAATGCAATGATTTGTGTGTTTGTGTGCCTTTTTCGCTTTCGAAATCAAAGCAACGTACAATTAGTGTAGGATCTGTCACACATATGCACGCACACAATGAAAAATGAGCATGTATTCGAAATGATACATATTGCATGAATTAATTGTGTAAGTTCATAGTGGAGATAGAGAGCGAGCGAGCGAGAGAACGAGAGCGAAATAGTGAGTGAAAGTGAGAGGTAGAATAATGTCGTCTCTTTATTCAGGGTCACAAGCAATATTTAACCATTACGGCATGTGAGTCACGTTACCTATGTACATGGTTATCCTTCCATGCGATTCGATTCTGTCGTTAAAGTACATTCCCATTTTGAGAAAACAAGAAAACACCGAGCACACAGCAAGAATGCAAAAAGAAACCGTTTTTATATCTATTCATAGCGAATACCATTGCCACATAGTAAAATCGGTGTTTGCAATCTATTTGAGAGTCGATCTCTTATATGTACCATACAGTAGTTGCGTTTGAAAGATTTAGACATGGATAATCGATTTTTATTGCATATTGAATGCACTTTTCACTACACCACAACTCGTATTGATTTTATGTGTGGTATGCTTTCGATCGAACTGTGCAAATGACATTTTCACAATTAAGTGTGTGTGTGTGTGTGTGATTCGAGAGATACACTTGGTTAAATAATTAATCTTGAATTTATTTTATTTTTCTGAAGAGGTGAGCGATCGATCGATTTAAGCCATGTAAATGGTGAGAAAATGGCTTAATTTAAATTCACGGTTCTCAGATTTGAAATCAACAAATAAAAAAAGTCACAAAATATGATTTGAAGCTAGATTTGAAATGTCGTATGTTTCCAATCTAATGATTTGAACATTTTAATTTGAGACACTTCAAATCAATTTATTTGACTGTCGTTTTTTTTTTGAAAATTTTCAAACCAAATCAATTGATTCGTTTTGTGATTTCGATTTAAAACCCCATTTTATGAACCCTGCTTAAATCACACTTGATTGTCAAAAATGACGTGTTTCTAATTTTAGATGCGTCTGAAAAAGTCATTTAAAATAATTGATTTAAACATATCAAATCAAATATGCGACAGAAGAGCGCATAGAATTTGACTCAATTTTATAATGAGAAGTTGACAAATAGAAACGATTCCGGTCATAAAACGTCATACTCATAATATGACTCAATAAAGTGATTTAAAACAGTTCAATAGATTATTTATTTTTATCGATCAATTGACTGAATGGATGTCATATAAATTTATTGAGCCTGCCAGCAAATCACAACACACGCTTAGCATATATTAACGATGGCAAACACAACAGACCAATTGATGTATCACAATGGTCACAATATCAAAATGCCAAAGAAAATGTTTGTTTTATCCGTTGGATTGTTTATGCATTTTATTAGGTGAAACCGATAAATGTCTCCTCAATCCGACAATACAAACAATGAATAATTTCACAATTTCCACTACATTTTATTTAGCGTCACACAGTTAATGTGAAAAATACAATACAACCGTCCGTCTTTTGCTTCGAAAAGGACTCATTCATGGTATATACCATAACGCTTTTGAATGTAAAATCCAATATGACCTAAAATCCAATTGGAAACCATGTTAATTATGATTTTTCTATGTGCCAAAGCAAAACCCGGGATTCAAAACAAAAGTTAAATAAAATTATAAACTGTATAACAAAATCCAGGTCGTTTTCGATTCACTATAAAATCCAAGAAGTATGCGCGCTCTCAACATGATATCAAAAAACGGAATTTAAGGGGGAAAATAATTGTTTCATATGCATGGTTGTGTGTTCGGCCTGTGCAAAATAAAAGCGTACCATTTTGCATGAAAGAAGCCATCGGTCTTTTTTTTTTTTGGAATAGTTTCATTGTTTTGTGAAGTCAGTAGCTGACTAGCAAGTTGATTGCTGGTTATTGAATGCTGTCCGCCGACATCATTATTTGCTTAAACCTTTTGAAAAAATGTATACAGAATGAGTGTGTGTGTATGATGAGAGAATCGCCGAAGAAAAAAAAATGTAAGCAGCAGTAGCAGTGGCATTTTAAGCAATAAACAATGAGCCCGCTTTTTTTTCTGTTTTGTCTTTTCATTTCTCGAACACTTTCTATTTTGATGCCTGAGCGTGTGCGTTCAATCATTTATTCTTGTTCATCTAAGCAAAACGACTTCCAAAAATACTAATAAGCGACACACAGCAGCTCTTTTCTGCCGAAGACTGAAGAAGAGAAATAACAACACATAACCGAATCAGAATGTACTCGGACTAATGTGCAATGTACGTAGATCAGACACAAAGGCCCGAGACAGAGATAGAGAGAAAACTTTAAATAATGATCACGAACACATGCATACTTTTGTATACGATGGGTCGATGATTATTATTGGTTTTGTTGTTTTAACTCGACTTCTTTTCTGGTTTTAGTTATATGCTTATTGTATATGTTCACGATGCGGTGCACCAAAGCACTCACACAATCACTCGTGCTCCACATATATCAGCATTTTTATTTATATACCGCTATCTATCTAAACGAGAAGCACAGCAAATTGCATATGAGTTTTTTCGCATTTTTTTTTTTTGTTTTTCATTCATCATCAACATTATACTTTCTTCGATTGAACATACAAACATGATGACATAATATCCATTTCATGAGTGGAGATAACATTTTCTATTTCACAGCGCCATTTAGTTTGTTCCAAATAAAAACAAACAATTTTTCGCTCATATCGCTCATTCAACAAAATCTCCCATTCAAAGACAAATATTTACTCTCTTTTTATTTCGAAACGTAGATCCATTGTTTGATTATTGTCAGCGTGTTTCATTTTTTTCTTTGCATTTTTTCACCATTGAATGATTGTTTTTGTTTTGGCAAGGTTAAAATTAAATGAAATCAACAAGAGATCGAGCAACAAAATACAATCGATATCAATCACTTTCACCTTTTTGAGCCGAAGATTTTCTTTTTTTGCGCTTATGCACCCAATAACTGGAATACACCGTGCCATAAAAATGCACGAAACAAAAGTACAACAAACTTGAATCCATTCAGAATAAAGTGTTTTGTTTTTTTTATTACTCGAGGCTTCTGAACGTTGAAAGCCATTCAATTAAATCAAATTGTTTTCGTAGTAAAACAAAAAAAAAAAATATGTATGTATTTTTATGTTATAAATGATTTATGTTTTATCTTGATTTCAGTTATGCGGCATCGCTCTGATAGCTGCTGGCGTTGGAACGCTGTTGAAATATGAAGACGTTTTGGATGCATTCAAAGATATGAATGTCAATACGGTGCCAGTCGTATTCATTATTATTGGTGCGGCTATATTTTTGGTAGCCTTCTTTGGATGCTGTGGCGCCATATTCGAGTCTGAATGCATGATTTTGACGGTAAGTAAATGCACACACATACGGGAACCATAGTGAAACCACTAGCGCGTACATTCATCCGACATAAATCGGTCATATGCATTTTCCACGTACACAACTGATTTTTCTTTTGCTAAAAAATGTATATGAGGAAAATCGATATGGAAAAAACTATAAACATGCCAAGTGTATGCGTAAAATTTGTTTGTAAACAAAATATATATAGAACGTACGCACCGTACCCGCACAGATTGATGACGACAGACAGAAAAATCAATCGGCGTTCTATCGATTGGTCTGGAATACGACTTGTGTAAAATCATCAATTTATGAATTGTCTATTATGTGTTTTCCGTGGTCTTTGTATATTGATTCGTTCTGATTTTTTTTTAAATGGTGTGTATGACCTATTTTCAGTATGCGGTGCTCCTGTTCCTTTTGCTAGTCGCTCAAATTGTTGTCGGCGTTTTGGTGTTCACAAACAAACGTGAAGTACAACGTTTATCCGAAAGAATATTGAACAATTTATGGCGTGATCGATTAAATCATCGTGCATTCTGGGACACAATTCAACAAGGAGTAAGTTAAAAACTTTTTCCCTAGGAAATCGATGCTGAGACGACGGATCTTCTTTTATCGGTCAATCGATTTGGTTGAACTAGTTTGTCAGAATTTGTTCGGAAATTTAAACGGATGTTTTGTCGATTTAATTTCAGCTTAAATGTTGCGGTCTTCACAATCCATCTGAATGGATTCCAAATACACCATCATCATGTTGTGAACCCAATCTTATTGAGTGTTTGGCTTTGGCAAATGCATATCCACAAGGATGTGCCGAATCACTTCACGATTTGATTAACGATGGATCGACATTGTTCGGAAGTACAGCAATCGGTGTTGCCGTAGTTGAGGTAAATAACAATGTCTTTCATTCATTACATTATATGAATGGGTAACTGTCTCTCCTCTCAGTTATGAAAATTAGTCCAGGAGAGAGTATCCATTCATATAGATTTACATTTTTAAAATGCTTTGTCATTTGATTTTATTAATATGATTTGTGTTTCTCTTTTATTTTCTCTCTTAAAATCGTCTACTTCACAGCTGGTCGGCTTTATCTTTGCCTGCTGTCTAAGCAATCACATTCGCAACTACAAAAGAAGGTTGGCATACTAAATCTATTGCACACACAAAAACACACAATGAGTAGATAAATAAAAAAAAAACATATCAAATTCAAAAAAAAAAAAAAAAAACTTTTTCTACATTTTGACCACATACATTTTTATTTAGTAAACATACATATAGGAATCTCGTTCATTTAACCATTAACGATTGAATTTTTGTTATGTTATTGACTGTACTCCAAATTGCCACTCACATATACACTTACCGTTTGTTTATGCTACACACACATAATACACTTTCTCAATTCTAACTTTTATGCTAATTAACAAAAAAAAAAAAAAATACTTGAAATCGAATCAAGAATCGAAACAATATTGCATTAGTAAAAATTATATGTTTTGAATAACTGCTCGAAATAAAAAAAAATTTATATATAAAATATTGTATGTCATAGATTGTTCCCTTCGTTTGTATTTTGTATTCATTATCTAAGAGTATTTTTAAAAAAATATACGAAAATGAAACATTTTCCGTTGGTTTGTTGATTTGTTGTTCCGTATTTTTCCTACAAATGAAGAAAAATATGAAAAATATAAACATAAACTGACAAAATTCAACATTTCGAATAAAATGCATTCACTTTTGTCTCATAAATTATGCTTTTGGTGCTTTTATCAGTCTCTTTTCCCAGTTAAATATTGAAAAACAAATAAATTTTTGTCTCTGGCTTTGGATTCGTTTGTAATAAGCGAATGCAGTATTACCCCAAAAGTTATATAATTAGATAGTTTTGATGCTTGTTTGCTCGAACACCCCAAATTTACAGAGAAAATGAACAAATATTTTTTTTACTACTAAATTACTTGTAAGCATGTAAACTGTATATTTGTATGGTAAATCAGTAGAAATAAACAAAAAATTATATTATATTCCCGTATGCAGCATGTCAACTTTCTAATGCGCAAATCGAAATGCATGAATTTGGTGTTGATTCCTTTGGTTTATCATATTTTTTTTTAACTTTCTACGCCAGTTGTGCGGGTTTAGTTGCAGAAGAATCAAATGCTTTGGGTTATTAATAGAAAAATCAATTTCGAATTGATTTGCTTTTGGGTTGCATCGAACAAAAGGATTAAAAAAAAGATGGTATAAAAATAGGTGTTTCAATTGTCTGTAATTAACGCATCTACCACAAATGTGATCTATGACATCGTTTCATTGACTGTTGAATTTGAATACTTAATGTGTCATACTATCCCCCCTTCTTCTCGCTGCATATAGACTTGCAGAAAAATACAGTGAGAACCTAGTACGCTCTGTTCATGTACTTCTAATATAACCAATACCAAAATAAAACAGATGAGTGACTAAATCGAGACACGAAATAAAAACGTTGCATTTCATGTCACTTAAAATAACGATCTTGTTTACTTGGTTATCTTGTTTTCTGGATTTTGCGCAATATGATAAAAATAAAACGCCGTTCATTCTGCTGAACAAATATAATGGGATGCATTGTGTGTGTGCAAAAAATATTAGAACGATACAATTTTTGCTTCAATTCGGTCAGGAAGAGGAGTGTGCAAGTGAAGGTCATGCCAGGTCACCTAATGTCTTGGTGACCGACCATATTTTTCATTTACACACCGAAATCGACGAAGCATTAAATACAGATGCAAGGCCTGAACCGCATAATATCGTCCAATTAAACTAATGCGCATAATGATAACGACCACGACCAACTGAAATTGATTTAAGTTTTTTTTTAAATAAATGCAAGCACATGATGTATTGTGGGCGTATTGGACGCGACATTTCATTAAATGTATCATTTCCAGTTTGACTTATTTTTAAACGTCTTCTCTTTGCTCAAAATGACAATGAAACCAAATGGCAAGTGCATCAGTATTCATTCTAATGAAATCTACTTTAATTGTATATACATTGGAAAGCACAAATATCATCATCACGAAGACTGCGTTAAGGGGAAGCGAGAGAGTGAGAGCAATCAGAGCAATTTGTGATGCTATTTCGACTATGACTCACACAAATTCTTCGAGAGAGAAAAAAAAAAGCAATAAAACGGCACATTGTTGTTGTTGTTACAAATAATTTGTTTAAGAGTGCATACGATTAATTAGGAAGTGCGTTTCGTATCTCTTAGCATTCACTTCAACAATATATATATTGTGTTCATTAATTTATAGCTAGATTAACCTTTGTCAATAAAAATAAATAAGCAACAACAAAAAAAAATCCACCCGAAGACTGTTTATGATTGATTCATTTGGCATCGAATGTATATGTATAATTTTTCATTATTTAGTGTTTGCTGCATGTATACCATCATCTCATCATACAACAATCTCGAAATTCAATGTTGTGGTTTCTATGTTTTATACGACGAATTATGATGATTTATTTACCGAAAACAATGAATACCAATATTTCAATATTAATCACAATTTTTTATATTTTTACAGATATATGTAAGTCAATTATGTAAAAATAATTGAAAAAAACACAACGCAAACGAATTAATAAAAAATATAACACAAACACATACACACACAAGCTGAAATTACATACAAACGAAAAAAATCATAGATTTTACTTTTGTAAAATTCTTTGCGCAAACAATTCAATGAAACAAAACAAAAATCCAACAACAACAAGTATGTAATAATATTCAAATATATCTGTACTGTGTAGTTTAAAGCACAAAACTTAAAGCAACAAATGTTCGCAAATGAATTCAGGAATAAACAATAAAAAAAAGAGCGGATTTGTAATGTAATGTGATGTTATGCGCATAATATCCAATGTGTTCTCATCTATGACAACAACAAGAAACAACCACAAAAAAATTAAGATTGTAAATTTCTTTTAACCATACCAAATTTCATCAATAGAAATTATTTGGATCTAGTAAGTGTAGAAATATGAACAATAAAAATCAAACAAAAAATACGGCGAATATTGGAATTTTTTTTGTCCAACATTTGAATTAGCCAAGTATAGATTTTTAAAACTGGTTCTTTAATTCAACATAAAAAAAACAACAACCATAAAGTTTGTTATCATTGTTTCAGTAAATAAGTTTCGAATAATACGAAGAAAAAAAATTGGTTTATCAAGTCTGAGTTTCTCCATGAAGCCAACTTTTGAATTAGTTATGAAAAATCAAAAATCATTTCTTTTTTTGCACCCAATTAGTATTTCTTACTTCTTTTATTGAGACGACGAATGAAAAGAGAAAAAAAAAAGATTATTTTTTATATGTACCTCGAAAAAAAAGAAATATTTGGTTTATGCAACATTTAAATTGGCCAAAAGAATAGTGGACCCTCTTTTTTAGACAAAGCAATCTCTTGATATGACCATTATCATATTAATCTCAATACGAATTCATTACAAACATAGTGCTTTTTTGTTTGTTTCATTTTCTCTCGAATTTATTGAGTGTTTTTATGACATAGGTATATGATATTTAAATTTCTAAAATATATTTTGAATGTTAATATTAAATGTATTTTTCTTCACTAATAAAAAATAAACATTGACAAAATTACCGAAAATTTTCTTTTCATTTTCTCTCAAATGAAGAAAAAAAAATCGTGTCGCAGCGATAATTTTATTATTTGGGAGCATAGAGCACTAGGTTTTTGGTTTAAATGCGGTGTACATAACTTTTGATTCTATTTGCGAAATTTTCATTGCTGTGATAGTACTGTGTGTGAATATTTCTGTTCACAAGATAATAGACCGTGTTACAGTGCTTATCAGTCAGGGTCAGAAAATATTTATTTCGTGGATGAACGTATTATTCTTTGTAAATTTATTTTCAGTTCAGTTTTGGTATTTGTTCAGCTAAGTGTGCACAAAACTACTGACATCTGACTCACTGTCAGTGTTTTCATTAAAATTACATTTAAATTGAAAATCGCTGTTGAGATTCGATTCCTAATTACAATATTCGCTACCACACAATCGATATCGAATTTATGGGGATGGTTTAAACCAAAAGAAGTCCCGTACGGCTGTCATAATGGTTTTTGTTGGAAAGGAAGGGTATTATGCACCTTGCAATTCGAAATGGGATTGCAAATATTACTATATTTGTGGTGATGATATTGTGTATGATAGGATGCCTTCTTCGTATCCTTAAAGTGTTAATATTCAATGATTGATTTGTTAAAAAACTAATCATTTAAAATGTAAAAATCTGAACTCTAAAAATGCATCTGTAATGAAAAACGTATTGTTTATTTTTTTTTGATATTTGTAAATTTTCCGTTCATTTTTGCTAATTGATATTCAGTTAACTGTGCACAAAATTACTGACCTCAGATTCACTCAGAATATTCAATAAGAATCGCTGTTGGGCTTCTATTTGTAATTACATTTTTTACTACAACACAATCGTTAGCGCTTCGGAATTTTTTTTAAACCAAACAAATACGATTACGGCTGTCATAATGGTTTTTGCTGGAAACATAAACCAGTTCCCATTTTAGAGAATTTGTCTACAACTTGGTGCTATACATGGCTGCAGTCCGTGGAAAATTCGGAACTTATGCACCTTGCAGTCGGAAAAAGGAATACAAACCCAACTATAGTTGTACTGATAATATAGTGTATGATTGGAAGGATTATTAAAAGTATTGAATTTGTATTGATTCTAAAATAAACTGTGTCGCGAAATTTATACGAAAAGAGCATTTTAATTGATTGTAGTGCTACGCGCCCTTTATATTGTCTCCTTAGATGTAGAAAAAATGTCAGTAGTTAAGTTCAGTTTACTTACTTTTAATCAGCAAAAGTGGACATTAAAAATTAATATGAGTTAATATTCGTCCACAATATGATTCATCTCTTCAGTTTGAATTAGCTACAAGCACTTACGATAGATGGCGTCACATCACTTCTTGACAAACTGAAGTGTGATTTTATCTTTTTGTTAATTACCCAACGCAATGGCTCTTATTTCATGTGGAATCATCCTGAACATCCAAAAAATGGCAATTCTTCATCAATCATCCAGAAAATGTTCAACCCAAGTATTCACCGTCGTCGATATCACAAGTGTTAAAACTATCACAAGATCGATAGCTCCAAATGAGTGAACTTTTTATTAATAACGAAATATTTTCTCGTGCCTATTTTTGCTTTCCGGACATCAGCGATGTCGTTTCATTCTTTTCAAATGAATACTGTTAGTCTGACGTAAATAAACTTGATATTTATCACTAATTTATTGAATTTGCTCAAAGAGTATAAAAAAACTCCCAAAGTTATGCAACAATTTTTTTGTTCAGCCCAATTTAACATTGAGTTAAATGATTCGATTCGTTTTGATCGCTTCGTGCTTGTTTAAGCAATTGCAGACAGTTTTTACAATATTTCGTTGAAGACAAAGTAAAATGCCCAATGTTACCGTCATTTGTAAGTGTGCTTAACTGAAGAACTGTAACTGTTTTTAGATCACATGAACAATGGTGAGTAAAGTAAGAGCTAGAAAGCATTCGGCGAGTGCTGTTTAGCGACCACTTTGGTAAGTTAGAATCTTTCGTTTCGGCTGTGATCACCTCTTGGTCACAATGACTGTACGAATTTACATATCGTTTCTTTGCCACTCTTCCATTTCTTCGTTTTTCTGATAAACTCATTTAGCTGCCGCGTGCATTTCGTTCATTTGCTATGTGTTTGTGAGAGACAGTCAACGCTGTTTGGTGTGTTGGTGAAGAAAAAAAGAAGATAGAAAGAGAATTGACGCGGAAACCGAGTGACTTAAAGTTCAAAACACACATCGTTCCGTTCGACTTATGTGTACTTCGTTTTATTCATCACGTTGTGGTTCTTGAGAACACAGTGCACTTTGGTACTTTGGTCGGTGCGTGCGTAAATTAAATTATTCCGTACTATATACACGCATTCATGGGTGATTTCATTTTAAACCAAAATGCGACCAAACGGACACAATTTATTTAAATAAAGTTCTTTATTTTTTGAAGGTTTTTTTTATATCTTGAATTGTTGTCGACCAAAACTAGTTTGTGGTAAATGTGAATGATAGCACTTCCATAATCATTTAATGCGAATTTGCATATTGCAAAAAAAAACGTCGATCTCAAAACGAGCTCAAACTCAAAAGTGAAAAAAACGAAGTTGTGTGGCTTGATTATAAACAAGAAATAGACATCTGTGACGCACCCAAGTCAAGAGTACAAATTTTTACACAAGAAACAAGAACGTTTAGTTGGATTTTTTTTTGAAGAGAAGAGACATCATTTACGGTCGCGTCATCGTGAGTGTTGCATTGTGCGCATCGATGTATTAGTTTGTTTTCTTCATCTGTTTGAACTTAGTGAAAGAAACAATTGGTGAAAAGAGAAGCGGAAAAATTCCGAAAATAATAAACATCGAATAAAAAAAAGAAGAAGAAAAAAGAATGAGCGGAATGACCGCATTTATGAAATTTCATTTTTTTAGTACAATTTATTGCTTCGAGTGTCCATTCATACGGTAAACAGATATTCGGGTGAAATGATCGAATGAGTGCATCGACGAAACAAGAAAAAAAAAAAAAGAAAAAAGAAAGAGAAAACAAAGAAAATTCACCAAAAAATCAGTCAGACACAAAGTGTAATAACATTAAATCAGTGATGCGGCATGTGATCATCTGCAATAGTTCACAAAATTGAAAACAAAAGAATGATTACGCAGTGACGAATCATTTCTTAAGCTCGCTGCAAACATGATGAAAGGGAAACATTCAAACTGTACGTGATGAAAGAAGAGTGATTACTTTAGCATAACATCATCATCAGATATATGATATATATATACGACGATCATCGCAAATCATCGCGCATCTGGCTGTTATGAAACGATTTTGGCATCGATGCACCACCGCGTTTTGATGATGAATCATCGTTGATCAATATTGAAATGTTGAAACAAAAGCAAAACAAATAATTGAAATTGGGCATTTACATAAACAATACATCCATCTCTTGGTTAAAAAGCATTTTTAAGATTGTATCATTGATCATATAGTGTTCGAACGCATTTGTATCATTATCATTTGGCAAACGATTTCATTAAGTGTTCATATGGTACAGCGACTAGTTGTATATTAAATAAGTAAGACAAAAAAGGAAGAATTTTTAGTCAAAATGATGAAATCAATCGCGATAATTATAACGTTAGTGCCATTGTTTTGTGAATATGCTCGGTTGGTGCATGGTCAATTGGTGAATAAGCCGCCTTATTTTATACCCGGCTCCGGCGATATGTCGCGATTCAGCCTGTCGGAAAACACACCCATCGATAGTCCCGTATATCAATTAAAAGGTAATGTTATTAATTTTATTGCCAAAATTTTGCCAAAACATTTTGTTCATTGTGATTTTGAATGGTGATTCAATATTTCACCCATCGTTATCCAGACGAAATGCCATTGTTTCGACGAAATTGCTGGAAAATTAAGAGAGAGGGAGAGAAAACAGACCACAACAAATTCTAAATCATAAATAAAACAAAGCACAATAGTGTTTTGTTCCGATTTCAATTCCATTTTTTTCTATTTTCATTTAACTTTAAAAAAAAAATGGCTTAACTGTGGCGTGAGAGAATAGCACCTTTGATATATAAAATGATTGTCTTAACAAGTGTGTAAGTTTGAACAAAACTCTGCTAAGTTTGTGGTGAATTAAATGAATTGAATTAGAAATGAAAAAAAAATGTATGTATGCCGCTGTATTCGATTGTTAGTTAAACTCCAACTTCTTTTGACGCCAACTAGAAAGCATTAAATGCATGTAATTGCTGTAGCATCAAGCACAAATGCTGTGTACCAATTGCGAGCCATAGCGTAAAATGTAATACGCAAAAAAAAATCGAACGAACTCTTAGAAAGAGAATCGTGAGAGCAAATATCTAAATCAGATTAGTTAAATGAGAAGTGCGTGCGTAACAGCAGTGAAATCACATTCACTACACATAAAACATATCAGAATGTTGCCTCATTTTTTGACTTACCGCCTAATCACCACCGTAATTTTCCAATTTTTCGCTTTTCCTTAATTACATCGTTGCGCATTAAATTAGTTGAAAACAAAAATACAAAAAGAGGTGCCAAACAAAAACAACACGACGGTAAATGAGCAATAAAGAGTGAATATATTTTAATCACTCACACAATATTTTCCGCACATTTTTCTTTGATTAATTGATGCCATTACAAATAATAATCCTTATTCACATAAATCAAATGACTACCATGCCAAACACATGTTCATTAAAATGAGTCGATCTTTTCTCCTTTTCTTTTTCTTTCGAAAGACATTCGAATGCAGGTAAATCGTCAGAAATGTCAATGTAACATTAATTATCTAATGCGGTAACAGCACTGTATCATTTCAAGTTGAAGTCTACAACGAAAACGATAAACGCGTTACATGTATTCCATTCAGTTGTAAAGCCATAAAAAGCCGTGCATAGTAGAAATATTCTTCTTGTTTTGTTTTATTGTTATTGTCATTATTTATTTGTGAAATTGTGAAATGGAAAAACAACATTGTAATAGCCGAGCACATAAAAAAAGAGAACGGTCTATTTTTTTCCATCTTTCTTTCTTTTCTGTTTTTATGCTCTAACGGAAAAAGTTATTTTGTACGAAAAAAAAACGATATTAAATGGTATGTAATTTTTGGTTGCTTGTGCAATTGTTTTTTTTTTTTCGTATACAGGAGTTGATCCAGATGGTGGCCATATTCGTTACAGTATTTCCGGGCCAGTTTTTAGCGTTGATCGAGACACCGGATTGATACGATTGCGACAAGAACTGGACAGAGAAAAGCAAGACACAATTGAAGTCATCATCAGCATAACAGGTGAGTTAAATGAAACAATATGTATCAATGGTGCGTGTTGCGCGCGTATACAATGAATTCATGGTTTTATGTGTCATTGGGTCGGCAAAAGAAGAAACAAATCAATCGAAATTCGATATTTGCATTTATTGCTTCGGTGTACCATCTCATGCAGAATGTTAAATCACATCCGCCAATTCTTCGGTAGTCGCGCATGTAACGGTGATACACGTTTTGAAACTATGTCATTTTTGTTGTTCATCTAATCTTCGAACACATTGAAAAAAGATGTATCTATATTTCAATACTACACATCGATCACACACATGTATATACACTTCTTCGACGAAGACAAAAAAACACACAGACTTCAATGAAACGTAAGACTTCCACTAATGTGACTTTCAAGCGCTTGCTTCACAACGAAGAGTACTATCCAAAGCGGAAAACCGGTATGACAGTGTAAACACAGTTATATGCATTGTGTTCTCTGCTGCTTCTTTTTCTTTTTTGATTCATATTGTATAGCGGTAATTACTTATTACGTGGATCGTTTATGTATATACTATCATCTGTTTTTAGTTGAAGAAATATACAAGTGTAATGAGGTTTTACCGACAAAATATGAGATGAGAATGTGTAGCATGACCAGTTTCGACAGAGTCAAAAATTATAGCAAAATGTGATTTTTTGCATTGGCCTTGGAATCGCTGTCGAACTGTGCTTATTTTGATCGATTTCTTTTGTATTCACACATTATATTCCATAGCACCTTTCATTCTTTCTAAAAAAATGTGAGTCGATTCTTTTCTTTTCTTCTCTCGTTCATTCTATGTCATTTCAGATGAAAGTATTTTCGGCATTGAACCAAATACGGTGTCGTTGCGGCGAGAAATCACTGTGAAAGATTTCAATGATAATGCGCCCCAGTTTATTGCACGACCTTATTCGACGAGCGTTAGCGAAGAAACGCCAATCGGCAGTATTATCGAAGTTTCACCAAACATTATGGTCACCGATCCGGACGAAGGAAAAAATGCCGAAGTCACACTGACATGCATACCAACCGAAGGCGATTTTGACGATATTTGCGAAATTTTTGATATTTTTACCGATCGCATAAGTGAAGGAAATTTCACTGCAATCATTACATTAATGAAACCACTTGACTTTGAATCACGTTCATCATATATTTTAACAATACAAGCACAAGACGGTTCGAAAACAAATCCGTTATCATCGGTGGCCACCGTTTCGATAAATGTTGTTGATAAACAAGATCAAGCGCCGATTTTTTTGAATGCACCATATTCGGTGACGTTGCAAGAGAATTTATCTGAAGATTCATTAGTTCTGAGCATTCATGCACAGGATGGTGATACAGGCAATCCGCGACCAATACTATTAACGCTTGAAGACGAAGATAAGGGATATTTTAAATTGGAGCAAATTTCATCGAATGCAACTGGTTTCTTGTATTCGACAGACATTCCAATCGATCGCGAAGATGTGGACATTTTTCAAAATGGTGGCGTTTATTCCTTTAAAATTCGTGCCACTGAAATGATAAATGGTGAGATACCAGCCGATTTTTCAACAACCCAAGTAACTGTTGTTATTACCGATATTGATGATCATATGCCCGAATTTAATGAACAACATTTTGAAATTGATGTACCGGAAAATTTGGGCACCGGAACACCGTTACCGGGTCTATCGATTTATGTGGATGACAAAGATTTGGGTGTAAACAGTCAATACAATTTATCACTGGAAAATGTATTAAATGCTGATAACGTATTTGAAGTGAGTCCAAAAATTGGTCACAATCGTACACCGATTGTGGTTAAAGTATTGGATCCATCTCGATTAGATTATGATGTTGATAATCACGATTTACGCATTCTAAAATTTGATTTGATTGCATCGGTGAATGGTGTTGGCTTATCGAGTGCCAGTGTAACGGTTTTTCTGCAAGATGTCAATGATAATGGACCCATTTTTGATAAATTAAATTACGAATTTTCGATTAGTGAAAATGCTGAAATTGACACGAAAATCGGAGATCTCAGTGCCACTGACAAGGACAGTGGTAAGTATGGAAAAATTACGTACGCACTAAAAGGTTTTGGATCGGAAAATTTTCGAACTGAAAAATACACGGGCGGCATTTATGTGAAAAAGAATTTAGATTATGAAAATCAAAAGAGTTATAGTTTGTCAATTGTTGCCATCGACGGTGACGGTTGGGAAACAAATGCCAATATATTGATTTATGTTCACGATGAAAATGATAATGCGCCAATTTTTGAATCGACTGAGTATACACGAACTATTCGAGAAGGTGCCACAGAATTTGAGCCACAATTCTATGTGCGAGCAATTGACATTGATGGACCAATGCAAGGTAATGGCAAAGTTTCATATTCGATTGACACCGAAAATAGTGTGTCGGGTCATGTATTTGCAATTGATGGTGAAACGGGTGAAATTAAAATCGAAAGTCCCGTTAGTTCGGTGGACACAGAACGCGGCCAATACGAATTGGTTGTTACGGCAACCGATTTTGGAATACCATCATTGAAAAATACAACGCGAGTATTGATTCGCGTTGGCATTTCGGGTAATCAACGACCAATTTTTAAAAAACGATTCAGTAGCGTTGATTTAAGCGAATTACCCGGACCAACACGGTATAAGGTTTCAATTCCCGAGAATGCACCTCCAGGCTACAATTTGACAACCGTTTCGGCAACCGATCCGGATGGTTTAGATGTTTTGCTTACGTATCGCATCGTTGGAGCAAACGATAACTTCGTTATTGACGAACAGTTAGTTGAGATTATATAAAATTGTTTTTATTTGTGGTTATGCTCATTTAAAACGGTTTACCATTTCAGAACGGGACTAGTTTCGGTGTCAACAGTTGCACGATTAGATCGCGATACAAATCCACATGAATATTCATTGATTATAAACGCCGTCGATGCTGGCTATCCGATCAGCGAAACTGGTACGGCAACATTACTCATTCAAGTTAGTGATGTAAATGATAAGCCGCCGAAGTAAGTCTTTTTTTAAATATATATTTTTTTTTTGCATTTTGCAATGAGAACTATTTTTTTTCTTGTTCTTGTTGAATATTTTTCATTTAGATTTTCTCAAGCAAGCTACACGGCATTTGTATCGGAACGTGTACCAATCGGAACTGAAGTATTGCAAACATTTGCAATCGATACGGATGTGAATGCAAAATTGACCTATTCAATCATCGATCCGATCGAAGGGGCTTCAAAAACTGGAATTCAATTATCATCGATTGCTTCATACGATTATCGTTCAGCATTTCGAATCGATTCGACAAGTGGGCAAATTTTTGTAAACAACACTTTAAATCATGATTTAGCCGCTGAGATATCATTAACCGTTAAGGTTATCGATGAAAATGCCGTTTACAATAAAGAAAAACAAATGGCCAAAGCTGAAGTGAACATTTTTATACAATCGTACATCGATACGAATCCGATTTTTAAAAACAAAGGATGGATCAGCAGCAATCCAATTGTCAAAGTAAATGTTAAAGAAGAGATGCCAATTGGTAGCACACTATTCAAACTAATTGCAGAAGATCCCGTTATGGAACAAAAGATAAATCATTTCGAAATTGTTGAAGTCGATCCACATAAGTTCTTTAGTTTAAATGAAAAAACCGGTGCTGTTATGTTAGAGAAACGATTAGATTATGAGGCACTCAACGAAACGGTCATTCAATTCACCGTCAAAGCAATAAGCGACGATGAAAAGCGAACAACGGTGAGTAAAGTTAAAGTTATCGTTCAAAATGTGAACGATAATTCACCGGAATTCGAGCATAAAAGCTATAGAGCGATGATTGTTGAGAATACAAAATATCCCGAAAATGTTGTCACTGTTCATGCCAAAGATAATGATGCGGAATTAACGCAACAGGATCGAGATTTTGGTTTTAAAAGAATTCGATATTCACTGTCCGGATCGCATGCGGTAAATTTTATCATTAATGAAGATACTGGTCTCATTCAAATCGCACCAAATCAAACAATCGACCGTGAAAAAGCACCAGAAATGAAATTCACTGTGATTGCAGAAGATGCGGCTGGTAAACCGACCGAAACTCGACGTAGTACTGCCGATGTAACGCTGACCATTTTAGATGAAAATGATAATGCGGTTAGTATCCATTTTTCGACGATTCATTCGGTAATTTCAATTGAAATCCATTTTTTTTACATTTTTTTAGCCAAGTTTTTCGCAAAAAACGTATTCAGCGGTTGTACCAGAAAATGCTGAAGTTAACACATTTGTGTTTAATATAAGTGCATTCGATCCGGATGACGGACCCGGTGGCGAAATATTTTATGACTTTTTGATTGAAGGAGATGCGGCTGGTTTGCTTAAGATAAATGCAAAAACCGGTGAAATTCGTACAAAATCACCGCTTACCGGTCGAGGCCGGTCGGAACCATATGACATGATAATTCGTGCTCAAGACAATGGCGGCCGAGTTGAAAAGCAAAAATCCCTCTTTAGCGATGTACCGTTCGTTTTATTCATTGGTGATGTTATTTCGAATTATGCACCATACTTCATAGCTCCACGACTCGGCCAAATTGCAAATATTACCGAGGTAAATATTTCCATTATTTTCTCTCTCTCTATGTTGTTTCCCGTTTTCGTTTTATTAACACTATTCATTCATCAAACTGTCATTAATCAATCACTTGAGAATTTGAAAAAAAAAAAAAAAAAATCAGATGAGTCATCTCACTGAATGACTGAATGGCACACATGATTGATTGAATGGATTGAGTTGAGTGGTGTTACACCTTGTTTATATGTTTAGATTGACTTCGGTTTTTCATGCGCGAATTATTTAATACAATAATCTTTCTATCGCTGTGTGTAGAATGCAACCATTGCAACCCCTGTATTTCAAGTGATTGCCAATGATCCGGACAATGCAATGACACCGAGTGGAATACTCTCATTTCGAATTCAAGATGACATTGAAGATGCATCTGCATTTAAAATTGGTACACATATTTCATTTTCTAACGGTCGCTGACTAAAAAACGACGGAATTTATTGACACATCTTTTATCATGAAAATTTTCTAGATTCAATGTCTGGTTTAATTACAACCACTAAGTCATTAGATCGTGAAACAAAAGCCATGTACAAAATTATAATCGAAGTAACCGATCAGGGTCAGCCTCCGCAGAGTGCAACCAGAGTACTACGCATCAATGTATTGGATATTGACGATCATCGTCCTAGATTTGCACGAGAAATAGTAAGAGACATAATTTGATTTGAAATTTTCTGCTTTTGTGTTGATTTAACGTAATTTAAATTTCAGGAGTCGCCGCCAGTTGAAATGTCGGTTTTAGAAGAACAACCAGCCGGTACAATAGTCGGTTATTTGCAAGCGATCGATGAAGATATAAATGAAAACGGAGCCATTGACTATGTGATAATCGATGGGAATCAAGAGAGTCTCTTCACAATTGAACGCTTAAAAAACAATACAGCAGTCGTGCGATCATTACAGCAATTTGATCGTGAGAAAGTTGCATCATATTTGATAACAATAAAGTGCTTCAAGCACGGAATATCACATGCGGCTATTGCACATAAAGCGTATAATCGAAAAGATTTTTCAGAAATCGAAATCCATATAAAAATCGTCGATGTTGATGACCATTTACCAGAATTTATCGAAAAAAATCCATCGTTCGGTGTTCGTATGAATGTGCCCATCGAATTTCCATTGACCATAGTCAGAGCCATTGATAAAGATCCAGATGCACAGCCGTTATTTTATCAAATCGTAAATGTAACATTCATACCACAATTTTATAAACGTGAAAATAGTTCGATTGAAAATGTCAAAGATTTCTTCATACTAAATAATTCAACGGCCGAATTGAAAACGGCCAAAAGTCTTGCCGATTTTGTGGATGGATATTTTGAGATTTTGGTTCGAGTGAATAACATCGATCAGGCAAGACGTGTCCGGCATAATAAAGTGAAAATTTTTGTAATTCGTGACAAATCATTGTTGCGCTTTGTATTTGCCAAACCACCAACGGAAGTTAAGGAATTTGTTGATGAATTTGCGAATGCAATTCAAGACCGACTCAAAACATTCGATTTGGAACTTGATATTTTGGATACAAAAGTACTAACTAAATCAGATCAAACATTTGATTTCTCTTCGACAAGGTAGGAATGCGGTACTCTTTGTGCTAAATAAATTTCTTTAAAAAAAATCTTGAATTAATTTCAGCTCTTGTTTCCAATTATCTCGCCATGAATCGGTTTTAACGCCACATGAAATGCAAACGATTATGGATTCGGAAGAAATGAAACAATCGTTGGTCGATCTATTTGAAAAATATTCGGTGAGTGCGATTGATTCGTGTTCGGTGAAAAAGAGCATTACGGCTGCAAGTGTTGTTGCATCGGCCGGAACTTGGCTTGTCATTTTGGCCGGCATTATTGGCATTTTTGCATTTATCGCCACATGTTGTGCATGCTGTTTGGCCAAGAAGTAAGTGCAATTTCTGATAAACATCTTTTTTGCTTTAAAACAAAAACAAATTTAATTAAATGTCACACAAATCAATCAGGTACAAAGATCAATCGAAACATTTGTTGGGAAGTAATCGAACACCACCCGAATCGTATGGACCTGGAACATCGATTTTATACACCGAACCAATTTATGGACCACTATAAAAATCTCTATGCTTATTAAGTCTTGCCGTTTTAATTAATTTATCGTAATTTAACGTGTTTGTGATAATAAGTGTACAATGTTAAGGACCGATTCGAATTTCATTTTTTTTTCTTTTGAATTTTTTTCCACAAAATGATTTTAAATTATTTTAATGTACATTTTCTAAGTTTTTGATTTAGTTGTAAATAAAATCCAAATAAAATTCAGTCAATAATAAAATTTATTTTCGGATTTTTTTTTTAATTTCGGTTTGATAAATCCATCAAAATTTTAAACTTTTAATCGCCTTGATTGCAATAAAATGGTACAGATAAAGCCAGCCAAAATATTTATTCAGTGTATTGAAGGCGTTCAGGGTTCAAATGCTCTCGAACATGTTTATTGAGCTAACCAGAAACGAAATCCTTTTCAATGTGATACAACGAAAGAGAAAAAATGCACACGTAAAACCAGAAAACAAAACGAAATCAAATACATCAACATCTAAAGTGGATTCGTTTTGAATCCCTTGTTTGCTTAAAAAATTTAGTTTTTACAATGTAATTTTTTTTTTTATGTTGCTCTCGATACTGTTGCTGGTTTTGTAACATTCGCTTCGCTTAACGATTATGGGCAAATATCATACCCGGTTACGGATGTTGAAACTATTCTCCCTGCTCGAAGGTAGCATTTTAAAAACCATAACGAATTTTTGATAGGGTTACATGATGCAGGGCCGTTATACCAAGCAACGGCTAAAAATCAACTCAAATAAGAAAAGTGCCTATTGGAAAAAAACACACACGAGTGAATGAATAACACAAAAAAAAATACCAAATGAAAACAAAGGGGTTGAGAAAAAAAATGCTACAAAATGGATACAGTGTATGCGATCAAACTCGTTAAGCGCTACATGACCTAAACATTGGATTAAGCAATGCGTTTTTAACGCTTCTCATTTGCCGTTCTTTGGCTTTCTATTTGTTCTCTGTCTCTCTCTGGATCTTTTTATATAAAACACGAATGTTTTGAATGGAAAATAACCTTTCACGTCAGGCGACTTCATTCATCGAATGCAATGGTTTTACATGACATGAATCCAGTGGCACGTCCATATAGCTACAACTCCATCTCATAAACATCAAAATAAACAAAAATTTTCAAATGAATTTTAAATCTTATTTAAATACTGCATTGATCGCATCACATGACATTTATTAGACACGATTATAAGCGATTACAGCTCGAGCGTTGGATTAACTGTATTATTTTCTATTCTTGTACAAACATAACAGGTAGATTAAGGGTGCAATTTTGGTAATTTTTAAATTTGCCAAGAAAATTTAAAAGAAAAACATTGAAACCACATTCATCTCATTAGAAATGCGATGAACAGTGATTTTGCTTCAAGTTTTTGAGGTGTTTCATTTATTCATCCATCAAAACGACTAAATGGGCTTGATAAAATGCTACTTTTTGTTAGTTAAATTCGTCCGGCCGTCGTTAAAACGGAATAAATTATGCAAGTTAGAAAAATGACGTTTTTTTTTCGCTATTACTATAAATCATTTGGCAATAACAAAGAAGCACTCTTTTCCATTCTGAAATGGGGTGCAACGCATCCAGGCCGCGTTTTCGTATGTGCTTCGTATGTTTGGTGTGGTTCAAAGAAGTCGAAAGTTGAATGAAACTACGGAGAAATGGTGCAGCTGTAAAGATGCAATGTCGCAACTTAATGAATTGTAAATTTTCAATGGATTTTTAAACTACTTGCTTGTAAACACAATGTATGCAATGTGCATCAAGAGGTGAATACGTATGGTATAAACTGACATTTAAACTCGAGATTCATATTTCTCTAAACGTGAAACCGTTTTTTAAAAATAAACAATTGGAAATTTAAATTTTTTGCATTTAAATTATTTTGTTTGGCATTTGGGCTTACATTCAAAACACGGAGAGAGAGAAAGACGAATCAATCCTGGCGTAATTTTCTCTTCAGTGCGTAATTCTTCAATTTTCCATCTAACGAACCGTGCAAAAGCCATCTGCTAAAATTAATAAAAATCGAGAGATGCACGAAAATTGCACAAGTCATAAATTCTTAACTCTTTTTTTTTGGTCGCGTCGATTAAATCGACCTTTTCGTGCTTCATTTATTTCATTTGGCAACGGTACGAATCAATAAAACACTATGAAAATATTAAATGTCAACGATGTGGAACAATTTTCGTGAATTTTGTTAATTTTTACGCCAAATTTTAGTCTTTACGAATATATACATATCCTTTGGCACTTTGTGCATCATGAATAATAGAAATTGATCGAATGAGATGAATAAAAAAGGGTAACATTTATGGTTTTTTGACGAATTTATGCGGAAAGCGAATAGGTCGATATTAAGGTGCAGAAAATGGCAATAAAATTGATTTCACAGTTTATGTCATTGTTATATTTTTCGCGCCACACTGTGTCGTTGCGTGTTTGTTTGCGTTTGAACGATTACAATAATTCATGTGCAGCATTTCAGTTTTATCTGTTTGTCTAACTGGCGTGTTAATGGTTGTTGTGAGCTACTTTGTTCAATTTTATTTGCTTTATTTTTCCACATTTTTTTCGTCCCTTTTACGTCGTTTTAATCACAAATTGTTCAAATAAAGCAAAAATGAGTGTGTTTGGTTCGTTTATCATTTGCTGAGCATATGGTCAAATATTAGATCAGTGGCTACGATATCGAACATAAAATCAAAGAACCGAATGGCCATTTCTTTCGGTCATTCGAGTTGAATTCTCGTCTTTTTTTCCAGCGACACGCTTAATTTTTAGTCTTTTTCTTCATTTCGTAGCCAAATAAGTGGATTAACCTATTAACCCGATTTTACACGATGTCATCCGATTGATTTTCAATGCGATCGAATTTTTAACCGAAACATCGAAAATGTATGCAAATCGCGCCTTAAAATTATGCTTCATTTAAATACATGAAATGATGACCGCATTACTACATCTCAGTGGGCTCTTCGGAATCCAATTACATTTATTAACAATTCATTTGAATTTTGTATTAATTTACATAATTTTCGTTTATCCTCCTCCCACCGGTACGGTTTTCATGCCGGTAAATATAGGGATAACGATGAAAAGAAAAACGACGACGAAAAAAAAAAACAGAATTGGTATAACAACAAACCATAGCACGCGGCATCAACGATTGGCTAACTAAAATATACGCGAACACTTATATGATTTTTCGTAACACGACCAGTTACATCCCTTTTATTAGATGCTTAAATAATGCACGAAGTACAAAGTGCATTTGGCAGGCAAAGCGGACAAATCGACACACAAAAAAAACTGTATTTGTACACTGTGTGTGCGTTTCATTTTTATGTTATATTTACATATATATACCACCACCGCTCATTCGTTCGTTCTGTGTCTATAACATCCCTCTCACCACTCATGCACACCGAACTATTTGATCCTTGCGGCACTATTTGTGTTGTGTTAACGTTTCGATGCCGAATATAAATATGATGACGCCGAACCGGTATGAGTTTAGTCGTGCAAGAGATTCGCTGTGTGAAACAACCCTCCGAATAGAGATAGGCTGTCCCACAGAGTCGGCTAACGATTCAGTTACCCAGTCGTCATAAACGCCACACATAATTCGTACGCTCAAAATATTCATCGACGTCGACGAAGAACGAGTCAAACGATCGTCGAATATCGTTTGTAGTAAACAATGTCGATTCCAACGCATATTTTGCACATCGATCGACAATTTTTCTTAGTTTTGTGTTTGTAATTGCTTTTTTTTGTGTATTTTCTTTTAATCGCATCGATTCAGTGTTTGTATTACATTGTGAATTTTAAACTGTATTTCGGCGAAATTATTCGATTTAATATTAACAAAACGACATTAATGTGTGAATAAGCAAAAAGAAAACAGTGTTAAAAAACAAACAAACAAAAAAACATGTCTTCGTGCTATAGTGGATTTTCATCGTCTTTGGACGATTTTGAGTGTTCGTCAACGGACAGTGGATTTGAAAAAAGCTACGAAAGTATTTCCGGCATAAGTGCTCACAATCTAAGCTACAATCAACTAAACATCACTGGAAATTCGGAAACAGATCTTATGCCAAAGATTTTGAATCCAATAATGTCACACACGGCATTGGATGAATTCACACCAATGCTTGGCATGCAAACATCCACACCGCTCAAAGCAAAAAATAATCAAGTGAAAAATAGCAAGAGTGATAAAAATGGTACGGCCGCTCGACCAAAACGAAAATATGCGGTGGGCAAAAATCGAATGACCCGATCACGTAGTCCATCGCAAGTCATGCGCATCAAACGTACACGACGTATAAAAGCAAATGATCGTGAACGTAATCGAATGCATACATTGAACGAGGCACTGGAGAGGCTGCGTTTAGCTCTGCCCACATTTCCCGAAGACACAAAACTAACGAAAATTGAAACGCTACGTTTTGCTCATAACTATATATTTGCGATGGAACAAGTGCTTCAACACGAACAAGAAATAAATCTTGATTTGGAAAAACTGCAAAGCATCACACTCAGCGGTGAACCATTTACCAAAGAACTATTCGAAGCAATGTTTGTTCATCCAAATTCATGTGAATTGAATGGATTTACATCGTGCGATTTCTACAGCAGCATGCAACAGTATCATACCATTCAACAACCGGCCAACTACACCAATGATCCATCGTTTTCCAAGCAAAATTATGACATTTTCCGCGGAGCATTTGAAACGGCGATGAATCAAGGACCAAGCTATCAATCACCGCCACCATCCAATCAACATCCGACCAACTTTGGCACAAACGGCGATAGCTTTAACAACAACAATAATAATAACAACAATAACAATCCACAATTTGGTATGGTAAATGTGCAAAGTCGCCGTTATCAACAGCAACCACATCGAACACCAAATTTCCATCAAAATAGCAGCTTTTACACGCATACACCACCATGGAAGGACTATAATGAACAAATGACCAACACATTTGCACCATATCCAGCATTATAGCGAACTAGGTATATAGATTTCATTTAGGTGTAAAACTGTCATCCTTCGAAGAACCAACACCAACATTTTTGGGTCAGTGAGTTGTAGAGAAAAGGTTTGTCGCTAATTTTTCCATTTCAAGAAAAAAACTCTTTTGTTTGAGTTTTTACACATTTGAAGAATGGATTTTGTTATGGTTGATTTTTATTAACGATATTTACTTGGATTTTACACAAAATCAACTTTTAACCAAAATCCACTCGAAAATATTAGACACAAAAGGTTTCTCTAGGAAATTTCCAATTTCGATTCTTTTTAAAAATGTAATAATGAAGAAATTGAAAAAATGTTCGGAATATTGAAATGTCTAAATTCGGAACACCAATTCAAAACGAATAAGAAAATGTTTAGTTTTGAGGTAGTTTTAAACCAATGGCCCAAAAACTGGTTCTAGTCACATTTCAAAACAGTTTAAAAAGCAAAATCAGAGAAGAAAAAAATATGTTTAATTTTGAAATCAAAGGCAATATTTATTGTAATTGGGGATCGATTTGATAAATGCTTTAATTTTTCGATTTTAGTTCTGTGATGGAAATATACATCACTTTCTACGGGTAATTTTCATTAAATTTTACAATAATTTCTTCGTTTCAATAGTCCATTATCATCTTCAGTTTCGATCCATTTTCCAATTGATTTTTTTGAGGTTTTTTTTTCTAAAAGAAAAGAGCGAATTTAAACAAACAGAGAAGAAACGAATTTTACAATCAACCAACTAAATTTGAAATGTAAGTGATTTTCAATAAGAATACACACGTTGAAAAGTTGAAATTTTACGATTACATTTTATGTGATATGAAAAACGATTGTTTTCTGTAATGAAAGAAGACAAAAATGTGCTCATAAAATTTCACAAATTTTACACTTCACAAAACACATGCTTTCAAATATTTCATGAGCAAAAGAGATGGAAAATCTCTAAAATATTTGATTGTGTTTGTTTTGGTGGATGATCTATACTTTTCAAATGAAATTCAAAGTACAAACAAAAAAAAAACCATTTAAATTTCATTTAAAATGTATTGTCACAAAATGCGCAACACATAGTCTTACAATAAATGAATGCCTTTTGATAGATTTTAAGGGAAACAAATACAAACAAATTCTTTTTTACCTATATATATTTACAAACTGCAAAGACACTTGTTCTTATTGAAAATGCTCAATTATTGAAAATTAAAACAAATAAATCGAAAATTCTATTTACAAATTGCACCAAAAAACAAAGATATACAATGTTACTAATGTCATAATAAGGAAAATTCTTCTAAAAAAAGTGAGTAGTAAATACAGCAACAAAAATCGAAAATAAAGCAATCAACAATAAAAGATGTTTTTTCAATTCAATTTCTTGATGAATTTAGAAGAAGAAAAAATCGAATCTATTTTCGAATGTATTCGATCATCAAAAGGTAAGTTAAACAAATGGATCAAATGGATTTCGGTGGATATTTAAATGAGATAGATGCGCCGTCGGCGATGTAGAAATCGAATACAAAGCATGCGCGTCACACTGAAAAATAAACGGGCACAATAAATAACGGCATTAAAAATATTCAACAATGAATGAAACAAGACACACATACACACAATCAAAAAGGATCATATAACTGGAATAAATTTAGATGCACACACACACACAGGCTTTTTATCAATGTCGAGGAAAATAAACGGAAAAAAAATATTACCGAGTTAACACCTCAGGGGGCATTGTCTGAATCCCGATTATATTTTTATTATAGTTATTACGATGTACTATCGTACATTTCTTCCGATTCAGATCTTTGATGTCATGGCGTACAATCGCACAAAATTCGAGCTGATGAACATTCCGGGAAAAAAAATACACTACATTTAATTGCTAGGTGGCTATCAAAAATCAACGCACCGAATCATATAAAAAATAGCTGTGACATAAAAAAAATGCCCCTTGTTCGGATGCAGTTAGCAAAATAATGTATTTTTTGTATTAATGCCATTGTTCATTGGATAACATTCATGCCTAAACTCACTAAAATGTAGCGACAGTGTTTATCAGTTTTATATCATATACAATGAGACACCCGAAAACATTGCAACACCGAAAACAGAAACTGTTCAATTGAATTGCAGTGGATAATCTTCAGCATTTCTACCGCGTTGTCGTGAACGTCAATTCCGAAAAACAAAACGAGCTATTTTTCTCTCATTTTCGCCGATTCTAAATGCTTTTCGATCGAAAGGAAACAACACAAAATCACTATTTTATATGCATTTCATGAATGGCATAAATCCAACTACACATCTCGCATAAATACTAAGCATAGCCCTTAAATCCATTTCGATTTTCTCTTTTTTCCTCCGATTTTTGTTCGTTGTTGTTGTTGTTGTCGTCGTCTTTGTTTGTCAATGCATGCAATTCTCTCGCTTTGAGTTTCATTGTGCCAGTGATTTGATTTTGAATTTTTTTCCCTCTCTACCTCTCTCGTACTATGGATATTAGATCGCTTTTATTGTTTGAAATCGAAGAGAGCTAAAGAGCACAGACTAATGTTTATACTATACAATTTTCATGGGGTGAGTCGAAAACAAAAGACGATTTCACGTCACCTGCCAACCATTATAGAATAACGCACACATTCTCGCAACGCACACTAAACATTTACGGGTCGGATCGCGCGCTCTGCGTGTACAATACATATATGCGCCGATGTGATATATGGTATCGTGGTACCGATATGTTGTTGGTTGGGTTCGTTTGAGCAGCAATGTATGTGCGCAATTCAGAGAGCGAGATTTTTATTATGATTTTAAGGTCTGTTTCACTAGTTTAGTCGGCTGCAATCAAGTTATTATTTTATAAATGGGCACCCCCAAAAGTATAGAGAACTTCATTCATGCTGATGAAGTGTGCGCGCATATTTTTACATTGACGACGCAGTGCGCACGAGAAGGAAGGACGATCTTCGTTTTAACAACCAAACGGTAAACGAAGTGAAAAAAAGCAGGGTCCGTATGTACCACCAGTCAGAGCAATGCATTTACATTTATATCTCACATCTCTATACATTGTTATTTGTATTGTTAACAATCTGAATGAAAAGGTATAAAAATGAATAATCATAATAACGGCAAATGAAATGTACATGAAAAGTCGAACTATTAACACAGCCCTCACCCAGTCAAGATTTAAAAACACTGATAGATTTTATGAAAGTGTTTTTTTTTTCTACTTTTTTCTCTCTCTCTCTTTTTCTCTTTCCTATTTGATCGGTTCTTTGTTTTTCAACTGCTCGTTTTAGTTCTGTATGTGTGCGTTTTTTTATCTCGCTTTTCATCCCTCGTTTCGTTTGAACTTGTTACTGGATACATTGAATTGCAGCCGTAACTGTGTAACGAATACTTCTTTTCAAAAGATCACACAAATAAGATACGCTAATGTATTTTAGGTCATCAGATAATTGTGCCGATTCGATTCGCTATTTTATATTCAATACCAGAGAATGCTATTTTAATTTGAATTTGATTATCGATCTTGTTTTCGATTTGGTAATGAGTGGTTTTCACGCATTAAATGGCTTTCATGTACTGCATAAGCTGCAGCAAACAAACAACCAGATTTGAATTTGTTTCTTCTCGATGTGGTTGGTTTGTCGAGTGTTTGTTTGAAAATTTTGCAATAACCGTTGAATAATTTCGAAAACGGAATGGTCGATAAATTAGTCACTTCATTGAACTCAGTGCACATTTATTTAATTTCACATAAAAATCAACCAAAAATTGATGCTGAATTTGTCCAAAATGGACTATGGTCCGTACCACATCGTTCTTCACCTTCGGTTGACATAAATTAAATACGAATAGAAACCAAGATCTGTCCGTAATTCAATCATTGAATTCAATTTAATTCGAATGAATTCGATGGCAATGCCAATTTTTAAGACTAACACGCTAAATGAACTGTAGCAAAGTACGACCAATGGCAAATATATGCGAAACCTATAGTTAAACGTTTATGAATCGTGACGGGTTTAGTTTGACGAAATGAATGCATGATTACGGTGTGGAGGACGAAAGAAGTAAAGGCGTCAATCATTATTAATCCAAGTACATTTCGTTTTTCGGGGGAAGTAAAAATGCCCTTCTTTGATCAAGTGCCAAGCGACAAGAGAGTCGACCGACCCGATAAATGCATTCTTCTTCTTTATTTTCCAGTATTATTCTTTGTTCAATTCAATCAAATTTAGTGTGTGTATCAACTCGATAGTAGAGAGATTGGCAGAAATTTTCAGCTTGAATTTCCACAATTCGCCTCAAAACATTCATGCCACAAACAAAATAACATACTTTGAAAATATATTTTACAAATGACGTTAACAAAAAATGCTACTTGCTCATTGCTCAATGTTGAATGGATTTGAACAAGATGTGTTGATGCGCGTACCCATGTAGATTGTTTTAAAGTGAAAATTGCCCAAGGCGCTGGAAACTGCATCATTATTGAGGTGAATAAAAATCAGCTTCTGTCGCATAATAAATAGATTCAAACCATAATGATCGTTGTGGCAGCTGTTACTCGTTTGCAACACATCTCAAACATTTTTCCGATTTTTTGACACAACAAATGAGGGCTTAGCCGTACCATTTCTCTGACCTCGATCGGTTAAAATACAATTTGTTATCACCAACCAACCGATTTTTAGATCGACACACACACACATACCGCTTGTAACGCCATTGAATCAGCTAAACATTTACAATTTATTAATCTTTATCGATGAGTTTCCAAAAATGTGGAAACGGGGTGACAATTAGTTTGATTCATTTGAAAACTATTGAAGCGTTAAGGAAAATCGCATGGACTTATCGTTGAGCATAGTGCATCCATTTTAGCTGCTCATTGTGTGTGAGTATTAGAATCAGAGATTATGACACATTCGAACAAAAACCATCGAGCTACCATTATTTTTATTCCTTTTATTCGGTATTTTTGCAAACCGTTACAAATAGAGGAACGAAAAATCGTTTATAAGAAATACAGTACTATGAATATGTTTTTTGTGTGTTAGTTTTTTATTTTTTGGGTGGAAGTTGAGCTCGCGAATTCATTGACCAAGAACATCTGGTCGACATGAACACTTCATTCAAATCAATTCTAAAAGTGTCAAAATGTAAGCGCTTGTATTTTATGCTTCATATGCACTCAAAATGGAATGAAAAAAAAGGAAATGTGATTGCCTTCGTTGAATCCGACACATTACGTCACACGCAGACTTTTAAGCCGTCTGATCGCTCTATGCACCACCACCATGCACACATTTCTAGTCTTAGCATAGCACAATTCGACTTGCATTGGTTTTACGTTAATTAACACACCTGGTACACACTCAAAAGTCAAACATGCTGAAGTGGATTCGCGTGTCAATTTTTTACTTTCTACTTACTCCGTTTTTTTTTTCAATTTTCAACCGTCATAAAAAAAATGTGCGTGGAAATTAATCGACAGCAATAGATACGATTAGTTCTTTAAAAAAAACAAGCATAGCTGTCAAAATCGTTTCTCGACTTTACGTTTTCGACCAATTTCCAAATGAAATGAAGTGAATATAATGACGGCAACAAATACAGGCCCGCACTTAATTTACGCGCATTCATCACGAAATCACAGGCCAATTCATGTATGGCCATTGTTTGTTTGACTGTGCGGTTCTATTTTTCTCTCTCTAAGGGAACAACAATAATAATAAAAAATCGTCGTTTTTATGAAATATCCAGAGACTTTTGGTATTATATGGTAATTTTGAGGGGAATTTTCCGTTATTCGGTAATGTGTTTTCTGCTGAAAAACTGCATTTCATGTAGCTTATCGATTTGTGACAGCAATCTTTATTACACAAGTATCTCACAACTGACATTCATTTCACTGCCTCTCTCTCCCTCTCTCTCTCTCAGTTTCGTCTGTCTGTAATCATTTGTCAATTTCCCGTAAGCAAAACGATTTTTATTGTTAATACATTTTATTAGTCGTTTTTCGTCCAGCTGATAAAAATCAGATAATTTATGGAATATGCATTTCGAATAATTATTTATTATAACAAATTTGTACCTCAAATCAATGGGGCTCAATGACACTGGAGTATAATTAATATTTTGCTGAAATAGCAATCATTATTCTTTTTGTCGGTACATTTTTTTTTTTTGGTTTTCATATGTTTCCATTGATTGAGATTCAATTGAAACCGATTAAATTCATTTTGTTTGTAATGCAATTTAAACAACACCGACAAAAAATATGTATAGAAACAAACCACT